ATTGCGGGGTACTTGCGGAATGCCAGGTTTTCTTCAGCAAGGACATAGCAAATGTCAAACTTTTTGCACAAATTTTCCTGCAGTGGTTTTTCCATCGATAACATGTTTCGTGCAATCGGAGCGTACGATGTGATTGGAGTATTTGTGACTTTAGCTTGCTTGGTACGTAGCAAGGACATTGATAGCTTGTGCTGATCACATTGAGCATGATCAATTACATTACACAACTTCTGGTTAGCCGTTCCGATGATCCATGCAGCCGAAAAGTTCTTCATCCCCCGTATGTTGTTTTCGAATGTTCTGCATACCTGGCACCAAAGGCTTGTGATCTCACTTTGTTGTTTTGTCACAGCGAAGCCAAGAAATCGTTTTGTGTTCTTTCTCTTCCTGCTTTTACCACTTCTGAAAGGTTGCAACTGACACCTTCCTCTTTGGTTTCTTAGCCTGATTGCCTGAACCGCCAGCCGAAACATCGATTGATCGCTTGGACGCCATATGAATATTTCATATTTTAAAAGTGCTAATTTAGTATTTAGTATATAAACATTGGCAACAGTGCAATATTTTATTTTATATTTGAAGTTTTGCATGATTTGCATGTGTTTCAGATTTAAGCATGTGTTTCTACATGTGCGAAAGGATGGCGTGAGATCTGAAAGTAGGCTGGGTTCCATAATTAAATATTCAAAATGGCGATCTTTACAACAACAAATTATTGAATTGCGGCAGATCGAGCAGTAAAAGAACTAAAACAGAAATAGAAATGACCAGTTTTCTTAAGACGATTTTTTTCTTCCAAATATTTATCTCTTGGACCTTCTTGGTAGGTTTATGTTTTCTTAAACTGGTAATCAAGTGACGAAATCTTAGTAATGAAATCTTTGTATATATTTGATTGGTCAAAAGGTCCGACCAGAATAACGTTGATCGGCCATTTGTTGTTTTTGTTCGGCAAATGGCCGACCGTTATAATCTACACTGGAGAAAATCTAACATCTCCTTTCTATGAATTTCTTGTCTTATGAAGGTTTGCATCTTTTCTTTTAATAAACAGTCGTTCTTCCAAGCTTAGTTTCTACCTGCCATATTGCAATTGCACAGAGCCCCCCTCCCTCCGGATGCCTCCGGTATAGCCACTGATCCACCTATAGTATGGAGTTCATTTGGAATGAGACGGGATCCAAACTCTTCCTTGACGCAAACGGTACTTGGGATCAACTATTTATAAAAATAATTCAATTGTCACCAACGAAAAACATATGTTATGTTTTATGCTAATATTTGTCTACGTTGCATATTGCAAATATATAAATATACATCATAATTACAGTAATATTTTCAATACATACATTAAAATAGCGCCCCAATCATTCAGCCGTGATGATTGATCTTCTTATCAGCACTTCTCTTCCTTCATAAATGAAATTATATGATGGGTCACTTGGGTTTTCTGCCATTTTTCTTGAGAATAATATTTAAAAATCTTTTGTAAAAATACTTCTCCCATTCCGCATGGTGGAAATTCCTGCCAAAATGCTAAAATAATTATAATGTGAAGTAGCGGTTGCCAGTAGCGCAGGCTCAATATAGCCGATACATTGTTCCGGTACAGTGCCAGAGAATCACCTCAATCGCGTAAAATCGACATGAAAATTCAAACAATTGCACGAGACACAATTTATGAATTCATGTTAAATTTTATATCATTTAAATTGAAATGTAATTAGTTATTCCATATATGGTTGATCCAGCGAAAATTGAATTCAGCAAAAAATTGTTAATTCAATTTTTAAAAAGTTATTTCAGAACGCCAAAGTAATTATTAATTCTGTTTTATGAATTTAATTTCCAAATGAACGAAACTTTCGCCCAAGGATCGATGTCTATACAAAAGTTGTGTCTTAATACCTGTTTCACTTCAAGACTTCTGACTTTTCTCCTCGCTTTCCTCAGGCTTGTAGAAGCTTAAATATCAGACAGATTCAAAAAGATCTTTTTCCTTCGTAAATTCAAAACACCGTATTTGTGGCGGAGGTGTACAAAAGATTCGTATTGCCTATATTCTTTGCACACAGTGTTTCCACTTTTGCAACACCTAATGGACCTTTTTCATAATGACGTCAAACGAGGAAAGTATGATGTTACACGAAGTTTGATTAGCTCAATAGTTTTGTGGAGCCAATCAAATTTCGTGTAACATCGGACTTTCCGTGTTTGACGTCATTATAAGAAAGGTCTATTTCCTGATTTTTTCCTTTTTTCGAACAAAATTTCCTTAAGCTATTTTAAAGATTTCCTTATACTTTCTTTCTTTCATAAAAATACTGTAACAACAATAACATAATGAAATTAAAAAATATCATGATTTGAAACATTTGCTGAACCTTAACTAACAGAGTTTTTGAAGAAAACAACCTATTAATATGAACAAATATAATACAAACAACAATGGTCAATATTTAGCAATTAGCACAGTCAAGATATGTTCAAGCAACTACTGGATTTTTTTGCAAAATTCAGCCTTTAAATTCTGTACATCATCAGCTGTAGCATTTGCTTTCATAGTAGACATCAAGTCAAACATATCTTCTACAGGCAAGGATGCTGTTGAGCAACAGGCATTTTTCATTCCAATCTTGCTTTGCAGAAGAGGAACCAAGGTCTCAGGTGAAAGACAATTTCTGCATTCTGATTTTACTTGCTTTAGAAGACTGAACAGTCTTTCAACAACTACATTAGAGAAGGAGAAGGAAGCCATTAAACCAAGGAAAATGAAAAGCCGAGGTAAGCAGATGGTAACTTAGCACACTTCACTTTAAGCCAGTATTCTTCCCAGGGTAAGGTGGAATTCAAATCATGCTCAAAAGGGTGTTGCCTCCATTGACAGTTGAACTCGTTAAGGTCTACCATGTCCTTTAAATATGGTAATTTCATTGAGATTGGTTGAGTGATGGTGGCCTTAGGTTAAATGCATTTTCAGGTAATGTACATTCCACAATATCCAGAATTTCTTGTTTGAGATCAAGACTTTGCTTGACTTGAATAATTCCTATGTTTCAATAAAGTTGAAAGACTGTGGCTATCCTTTACTGACTGTATTCCCCTTTGATGTTTCGCAGATTCCATATGCCACTGAATGCCAGTCTTACTGGAATTGATTTCCAGTTGACAAAACTTGCAATATGGTTCCGCTTTTCCATCTGTTCCTCTTCGCTTTTCTAACCATTCTTTAAATTCTTTTACATCTAGCCAGCTTCCAATAAATTTAGCCTCCGTCTTTCTACGTTTCTTTTGAGGGAGCTCCAAGTTTGACATGCATCGCTTGTTGGTTTGAAACCCTAACTTTGTTATTGTTATCGTATGTCGTTAATTTCCGTTTTGTTACTTCCTGCGACTACACGCGCAGCTGCACACAGTTTAATGTTTCTTTGTATATCACTGTCAACTAGAGTATGGTCACTCTACTCTACAATTGGTTATTTACGTTTATGTTCGAACTCTATCGACGGTATTCAGCAGCAGTTTGGTGTGTGCGCCAACTAAAGTAAGACTCTATCTTTGTGTTATTATAGTTTGTAAACATATGTAGCTACGTTAGTTGATTTATTCGTATTTAGTGCATGCCTGTTATAGTATTTAATTTGCCTAGATTGCATGACTTAGTGCGGTTTAATTCTTGTATTTTTAGTTTGAACGTTACCCACTATAATTCTATTCCGCGATCACTCTATTCAATATTCCGTTACCGGATTGATCAGTTACCATATACCTTCAACCGCACAGTATTATAAACTTTATCATTAAAGATACATTTTATAACCATTATCCGCGCACGTGTTATCCTATCATCGTGGTTAGCGAATTTAGTGGAGTTCAATTTGTGGCGTTAACGGCACACCAAAGCAGCGTAGCTCTCAGAAGAATTTGGGAGTTACATTAGTTCGAATTTAGTTCGAATTCTACTCGTTTGCATCGTCAGAATCAACGCTCTATTGTGCTTCAACAGTAATAGTATCCCGCTAGCCTTGTGTGCGGCGCGTTGTAAACCATCTGGTTCAAATCTCATCACGGCGCGGCGATAAACGCGACCTAAGCCAATAAACATTGTCTATCGCGAACCTTCAACTTTCAATGGAACAATCTATAGCAATCGATGACCTAAAGAAGGCTCGTAGCAGCGCAAAGGCCAACGTAACACGCAAAGTGAATCGGATTTCGGAGTCGATGCTTTCAAGCGACAGTGTTGACGTTGTCAAGGAAATGTCAATAGAATTACAACATGCTACAAGCGAATTTAAGGCTGCTCATGAGGCATACAACAAACAATTAACAAATGAAGACGATTTGGATCAGTCTGCCAGCTATTTTCATACCGTGTTAGAACAAGTGCGCGCCATAGAAACACAAATGCAATCGTGGCTCAAACAACAATGCATTGACGTAATCGTACATCCGGAAGACTCAGCTAGCAACGTGGCATCGTATACCTCCTCGCGCGCTAAGTCTAAGACCAGCTTGACAAGAAGCTCAGCAAGCGCGAAAGCAAGAGCGGCAGCCAAGATAGCAGCGCTTGAAGCTAAAGCTGCGTCTATCCAAGAAAGGCAAGGACTGAGTTAGCGGTCGCTGAAGCTGAACAAAGAGCCTACGAAGAAAGCGAAATCGAGGAAATACGCAGTCGTAACGGCAAAAGTGTTTTGCATAGTTCTGCACCGGTCCAGCGCAAGTTAAATCTCACCGACCAACGACTCGAGAATGCCCCAAAGGTTTCTTCAAGTCCCGAAGCTAAGCCCGCTGCCGTAGACATGTCTGCACGTCAAACACTCAACCCTGAAGCCCCCGAATGGCGCGCTGTAACGCCGCAGGGCTACGAACGCTCGTACGTCAACTACCTTTCTCAATTGGATAAGTTTCGCGAGGAATCGTTCCAAGCGCTAATGACAACGCAAGAACATCAGAATGGGGTGCTACAGCAGCTAGTCCAACAGCAACAAGAAAGCGTAATGGCGCTCACCTTACCACGACCCAGTTTACAGACGTTTAACGGCGATCCCCTAGGTTACTGCGACTTTGTGCGTGCGTTTGAACATCTGGTAGAGCGCAAGGCAAACGACCCCAGCGCAAGACTCTACCTTTTAGTGCAGCACACTTCCGGAAGCGTGCAGGAATTGATGCGAAGTTGTCTGTCCATGCAGCCAGAGGAGGGATATAGAGAAGCACGACGCTTGCTTAAGGAGCGATACGGTCAGAAATACAAGATCGCCGCCGCGCACGTACAGAAACTCATCAACGGGGCCCCCATCAGAACAGAGGACGGCGAGGAGCTGCAGAGATTCTCCATCCAGCTGGTGAGTTGCACCAACACATTGAAGGAAATTGGTTACATAGGGAAACTGGACAATCCAGAAAACCTAAAGGAAATCGTCGATCGCCTGCCGTACCCACTTCGCGCGAAATGGCGAGACGCGGTGGACCGTATTGTGGAAAAAGAAGAAAGAGACGTGACAGTCAAGGACCTAACAGATTTCGTGACGATGAAGGCCAGAGCAGCCAGCCATCCTGTGTTCGGTAAACTTGAAAGAGCGTCAGACAAAATCACCGGCCCAGGAAATCAACGACCACGCCGTAGTGCCAACGGTTTCGCAACGCAAGGGGGCGAGCAAACCTCGACCGAAGCCAGAGAAAAGTGGTGCCCACTGTGTAAGATGGCCCACTGGCTGTCACGCTGCGAAAAGTTCCGGAAGCAATCGTTGGCCGAAAGAAGACAAGTAGTCAGAAACAGCAAACTGTGCCTCAACTGTCTACTGCCAGGACATTTTGTCAATGCGTGTCCCAAACCCAGTTACTGCAAGGTGCCAGAATGTGAAACAAAGCACTCGACGTTTCTGCATCCGAGGTCCGAGAAGACGCCCGAACACGATGCTGATGCAACACCCAGTCAAGAGAGCGTAGCCAACCGGAACAGTACGCCAGCAGACGAAAACCCTACACAAGCCGATAGTTTGTACGTTCGAATGTCGACCAAACCCAACGCGCCAAGATACGATTCTGTGACAGCGCTGGCCATCGTTCCTGTTCGCGTCAAGGCATCTGGCCATGGTGCATCTAAGACGGTGGAAACGTATGCATTCTTGGATTCGGGCTCGAATGCATCATTCTGCACCGAAGCCCTGCTCGACCAACTCGACCTTCAAGGCCGCAAGATGAGTCTGTCGCTGACGACGATACAAGGTAAAAACTTGCTCGTGCAGTGCTCCCAGGTGAGTCTTGAAGTGTCTTCACTGGATTCAGCAGCACAGCCCGTTAATATGCCAGTGGTGTATTCACGACCATCTCTACCAATCTCCCGCGACGCCATCAGTAACCAGGAAGATGTAAACCGCTGGCCACATCTTGAAGGATTATCCTTGCCAGAGATCGACGCCAAAATCGGCCTGCTTATCGGAAGCGACGTCCCCGAAGCAATACAACCAATGGAAGTACGACAAAGTGAGAGCGGAGGACCTTTCGCGACTCGGACCATCCTAGGATGGGTACTCAATGGCCCTCTTGGTAGAGGAAAGAACACGTCAGCTACGTCCAACTTTTTGCAGAGCACTGCTCGTCTTGAGCAGCAATTCCAGGACTATTGCAACTTGGAGTTCAACGACTCGTCCTACGATGCCAAACAGTCAATGTCGCAAAATGACAAGAGAGCGCTGGCACTAACGGCACACTAAAGCAGCGTAGCTCTCAGAAGAATTTGGGAGTTACATCGCTCACTATTTCTATCACTTTCTTCGGTTTCATTACCTGAAGACTCGAAATCGGCCATGTTCATACCGTTTTTGCCTTTTTGGACTTGGTTTCACTTTTGGCAAAGATTTGCTTTTGGCGACTGATGTTGCTTTGGACGTCATGGGATAATTTATGACACTGAGTATATAGTCACAGAGCATACAGAGGTTTGACCTTCCATTAATTATGCGTTCCTAGCGGCCATGTTGTTAGCCAGTGCGCTAAAGAGAGGCTCTGCCCCCCCCGAACATTATAAATAGCCATCGCTATATAAATAGACAGATCGCTCCCACTTCTATACTCTTCTAAAGGATAAGAACTAACAAAATCTGGTTTTGAGAAAAAAATTGAGCAACGTTTTTGTCAAAAATACGATTTCTCCTGATAGTTCTGTCTTGGCTGTTTATATTCCATACATGTGTTCAAGCCGCCGCCATATGCATGCTTTCCCGGGGGGAGAAGGCCTCTCTTAAGCACACTGGCTAAGCCAGGGGTACGCAAAATTAACAGCAGTCAAACCTCTGTATGCTCTGTGATACACTGAACTGTATAACATGGAAGGTTACCTCCAGTATCTATAAGTGAAGCCAAAAATGGCGGCTTATAAAGCTTTCTTGGGCGTCATTCTCAGTCTCCCAAACGCGTTTTTTTCGCGCGGTCAACTAAGGCGCGGGAAATTTAAAATGCAAAGGCCTGCTACTTTCTTCAATCTTTTCTACGTACTGTTCCCAAGCAAAAATATATTAGGCGTTAGTGTAAAAAGCTGATAGGAAATTCAAAATGTGAAACAACTGCAAGTTGATAAAAATGCCACGTTATTGCGTGGTACCCCGCTGTAAAAGCAACGACCGAAAAAAGGAAAATAGGCCTGTATTTTTTCACAGGTAAATATAATTTTACTGTAAAATAAATTATGAAAGTATTGTATAAAACGCGAGCTTTATAGAATTTATAGTTGAAAAGCATCCCTAAAGAATTTCATTGGTCTACCTAATGTATGCGCCTATGTTTAATTTTGTTTGGGGCCGGGGGCTTTAAATTTGTTTTGTTTTGGGGGCTTTGTTGAAATCGTATTCCTTCTTGTTTTTAATTAAATCAATGAAAACGACACGCCTCGCCGTTTGCAATGTAATAATGATAAAGTTTGACGATTGACCGCGCGTTTGGGAAACTGAGAATGACGCCCAAGAAGGCTTCATGACCGCCATTTTTGGCTTCACTTTTGGATTGCGTAATTCCTTTAAGTTAGCCTTCCATGTTATACAGTTCAGTGCTGTGATATAGTGCTTCCATTTTAAACTTCAAACGTGTATTAATCAATTAAGAAATTTTAATAAAAGATAGGAAAACTCTTATAAGTTCCTAATACCCACTGCTAATTTAAAAAATCCCTTTTTTTTCCTTCACAATTTAGAATTTCTTTCATATTTCCTTTAATTTTCGATTTCCTTTTTTTATCCTCCATAAAGTCAAGATTTCCTTAAAAAGGAAAAAATCCTTCGAAGTGAAAACGCTGTTTGCACACTTTTCACAGATAAAAATTAAAAAAACAGGGGAGAGCATTCTCTTGTAGCGGGCTCATATTTGAGCCTGGTCAGTGGTAATTACCATGGGCAAAGGGGACCATGTGGCGTCAGCAGAGCTTCTGCGCATGCGCAAAAGGGCGAAGTCCGCCATGTTTTTTGCTTCACTTTTTGAGAAAAAAAGATTAGGAGCACTGAGCTCACTGAGCTATATTAAATACCTGTTTTTGCCAATGCGAGAGAACAAATATGGACAAAAATGTGGACAAAACTAAAGATTTTAATACTGACAATAACTGAGCATGGCTAACATGAAAATGGTTCAGGATTGATATTAAGAATGTGTAATCATGAAAAGAAACTTCCACCAACAAAATAATTAGCTTTGATCCAACAATTATTTTCATGACAATTTGTTTTTCTTTGCTCATTGCCCTTTTTAACTCAACACACCCGTTTTCAGTACCACCAGTTGTTACAACAAATTCAATCCTAACCCACTCTTAGGGAAAGTTTTGCCCTCTTTAAAACGAGGGGATGGTTGCAAATAGTTGCATTTTTGTCACATGGATACCCTGTAAAAATATCCAAAGGCATTTACATGGAGAACTTATTTTAATCAATCACAAAAACAATGATAGAGTCACTGTAATTTCGTGTAGAGAAGCAAAAAACCAAGAAGAGAAGGGTATCTAAGCTATCTGCTATTGAGCTACTGTCAAAGAAATATAAGAAAATACAACTGAAAGAAAAAGAACTGGAAGTACGGAAAAAGGAACTGGAGCTAAAAGCAAACCAACAAGAAATAGAGATTGCTGAGAGAAAGCAGAGACTAAAACTTGAAAAGGAGGAGAGATGGGCCATGATCAAACTTTTGCAAAAAAATTTACATTTGAACTAAAGTATACTAAAACTAAGTGTTTATTCAAAGTTTATAACTTTTAAAGGTTTATATTGTACAAGATGTATCAGTTACAATCTTAAGTGTCAAATGTTCACAAGGAAAAATTTAATTGTTTAAAAGATATGTTTCCAATGACGGTGGGTCAAGTCCAAAGTACTTGCTGGTGATGGAACCATACAGACATGTATGGCAGTTAATTAACACACAAGCAACTGCATAACATTTCCCAACTTGTTGTAGTAGGACTTTTTGATTTTTTTTTTAAATCGAGATATGCAAAATATTGCAGTATTTTACAAAATCCCCATTCCACCGATATTCTGACTTTGCTCATATCCTTATTGAATTGTTTGCTCATTTGTGCCCCTTTGAATGGAGCCAAAATGTTTTGAGTTATAGAACATATGGTTCTCCCTTCGGTTTGACTAATTGTTACAGGAGCGGTAACAATCCACTGGTATTAAGAATGAAAGCATCATGTCTTCTTCCCTCAACAGGACCATATAAATGTGCCATAAGCCCATTTGGGGTAACAACTGACTATGGACAAAAGAAAGCAAAGGGGCTTCACAAAGGTGAATTTATTATTTGATCTTAACTTACCAGACTGCACATATTAAATATACTATTATAAATTAAATTATCCATACTAAATATATCACCACCCTGATCGCTTTAAGATATGCAAGGATCGCCTTTGTCACAAACTAGCTGCCTGGAAGGGTTCCACTCAGTACTCAATCATTTTTCTCCTAAAATTATTGCATACTCATTTCGAGGAATGTATTGCGAGTATCACTTTTCAGCATTCATTGAAAAAATTTAATCACTGAATTTAAATGCTCAAATCTGTATATCACAAATAACTTATTTATATCTATGTTGCAGGCATATTTTAGCTGTTTGCCACTTTAATTGTAATCTACAAAGAGAGGAATGAAAAACAAAATCTGGCAAAGTTCAAGTGAAAGTGGTGTACCCCAAATTTAAGAATTGTGAAGCAACAGTGAGAAGTGTTGGAGTTCTACCAAATTTTGGTAAGAGATTGAATATAATATATATTTTACAGTGTTGAACTGTGGTAGAAAGTTCGTGTTGAAATACTCTTCATTATGAATAAACCTGTGTTGAATATAATTTTAGATTATGTTGAAGATATATATAAAGTAATGAGCCATTCAGATGACAAAACACTTCAGGCTGCATGTCGTGTATTGGCAAAGATGATGCCAGCACCAATCAACACAATGCTGGAAAAAAATCTAGAGAGGAGGCAATAGAAAAGAGCTACCAGCATAGAGAGAAAGTTTCTATTGATGTTCCAGCTACAGGTAAATATGGATTTCATTAAATCAGCATTTCTACTAAATTATAGTAGATGTAGAAAAGTTACTTTTTTAATATTGCAAGTAATATTTACTAAGAAATATTAATTTTTAGAACTTCAAAAACAGGAACCTATAGTTCCACAAGTTGCGCCAGTTCCACAAGTTAAAGAAAGGGCAACACCCCATTTTAGAACATGTGGCAACCCAATGAAAGGACATGGGAAAATTAAGGATTGTCCAAAAAATGTTGAAGCAAGAAAATAATTTTTTAGAATAAATTTGCAAAGAAATCCCAATAATATTGGTTTCTGGTGACATGGCTTTCGTGCACTGAGCAGTTAGTTTCACTTTGCATAGTGAGATGACTAGAAAGTTTTCTCATTTTTGGAAACACTGTGTAAAATTGTGTTCACAAAGCTTTTGATATGCAAGCAATACGCATTTGTAAGTGCTGTATTTTCAATGGCAAAATTCATCCTTATGGATCAAAGGCTTTTTGAACAAAAATTTACATGGTGTTTCCACAAGCCTACAGAAAGGGTATATCATGTTGACTGTTCATCATCCTCATCCTCAAAACCTTTGAAGATCTTTCCTCCAAACCTTTGTCTTATGGAATCATAAGCACATGTCAGCAAAAGTATTCTTCTCTTTCCCAAGTAGCCATAAACCAATTGGATGTATTCTCTGTAAGCAACACTTTGAAAATACCTGTAATATAATGAGCTCTTTTTAAATTTGTTAAATAGTATATTTAATAATCTTCTTTATACACAAAATAGATCAATGTGAAGTATTGAGAACTTCTTTTAAATAATCATGTTTAAATTAAAATGGCTAAAGGACGTGCACATAAGCCACTAGTTATTGTGAATACTTGCCTGTTTTCATCACCTTGCACATTATATTTCAATCTATTTTATTAAACTTGCGCCCTGCCAGACCCAGGGCGCTAAACAAACCGAAGCAAAACCTTCTTCAAGTTCTTGTAAGACCAGTTCTCCACTTAACGCTTCAGTGCAGCCTTCAATTTCTTGGCAACATTGAGCCTCTTTTTCATGTACCAAGAGATCGATCTTGCAATTTTTATATTTTATATATATTTATATTGCATGATTGTGTCATTGTGGAACAATACCGTGAAATTTCAGTATTTTCACACAGCTTTATGAAAATCACCAGACAAA